TCGTTTTGTTTTAAAAAAAATCTTGTTTTTATGAAAATCGTTACTACGGAAAATGAACTAACTATTTTTAGTTGATACGTGTCAACACCTCATTATCGGTTAATGGTGCAATAACAGTAAGCGTGATGCACTGAGACTGGTACCAGCACAATTGTGCGACGCACATGTTGAGTCATCACGGCTGGAGATATCGTCGTTACAACGCTCGTGTATGAATACATTTTCCTTGGGTGTATAGCATATCTCCAACGGTGACGTGCTCGGCGAGTTTCGTGTATGAATTGCGTGGTTCGTTCACGGAAAACCATGGAAAAATGTAATAAAACGATTTCAACCACAAAACTCGCTCATGGGAAGACTGAAACCTTTTTAAAGATCATAAATGTTGAATTAAAATTAAAACAAATATTGCTATGTTTAGGCGTAGCAGTGATATATTTTTAGCAGATACCGTAAAAAAATGATTTTTACTTCGATGATTTTTTTGTCTAATTTGTAATGTAAAGTTGTAATTGACATGCTTGCGAATTTATTATTAATAATAAAAAAAAATTGAAGAAACCTGATTTAGTACTAGAAAATTTCGAATAATTGAGGTTTTTGAAGATCCCGGTAAAATTAATCCACTACCCAGTTAGCATATGACGCCTTCAAGATGTCCATTTTACGGCTATTTTAGGTCCAAGACGGTTTTAAGCCGTCTTCAAGGCGTCATGTGTTATCTGGGTATGGACACAAAATTTTAATACATATTATTTATGTATTTTACTCCCATTTTCTGTAACAGAATTACAATGTGTGAGTTTACATACATCTCGAATGGTATTTTTTATGGGTATTTAATTTAAATAACAATGTAATACAATGGTGGTTAGAAGTGAGCTTATGTATTATTTACATGTTTACAAACTGTTACGTCGTTAGATATGAAACGTGGCGATTTCACTAGATAGGTACATATATTTGACGTTACTTTGATGTATTACAATTTCCTTAGACAGCAATTTTACTTAGATACATACATATATTTGACGTAACTTTTATGTATTAAAATTATTCACGTAGCTCCTTTCTGTATTTAAAAATTACATAGTGTATTCTACTTACTTGTTTAAAGGCACAGTAGCGTACAAAAAGGTTACCACTTTCCTGAGTTTTTAATTTTTACTATTTCTTAACATCAACTTGAAACCTTAATATACTGGGTTTTATACAGCTTTTAATTCTGTGTCTCAATATATATTAAACACATACTAAAGTTTCAAGGTGACGTTAAAAAATAATACAAATATAATAACCCGAAAAAGTGGTCACTTTTTTGTCAGCAACTGCATATAACATAACAGTAAAATCAATTATGTTGAGCACTGACGTTAAGTGAGGTAAAGAATTAATCTCAGTTAAATTCGGTCACTTCGTCCACGTGCATTAAATGATGGATATTTCAGCCAAATTCATAAATAAACTTTATAAAAATGCATGTGAGTTTCTGCTAAAAATACTATTTAGCGATGATAATATTCGGCGAAGAGTTGGCAGCTAAATGTGTCTTCGAAAACGTTTCTTCAAATTCAATATGATGATTCTGTAATAAATATAACATGATTATAACATTTGTTTTTCAATGAAAAACATGTACAGAGTTCATTTAATCTTACTTTGTCTAATGCAATTCGTATAATGTTCAATATAATATTTACTACCTACCTATCGATAATAATACGTCGATAATAATTCATAAGTATCGGTTAGTCTGATATTTCGAAATGTTGTAGGTAATGACATGATTTTGTGCAGAATCATGCAGATACAGAAAAGTGACATTTATGGATATTACTCACTGCACTTTTTAACTTGTACGGTATAAAGGCATTAATAATAATTAGACTGCGGATTTTTATGTAAAATAAAGTTACATAAAGCAATTCTTGAAGACAAGAATTAAAGTATGAGTTTCTATCATTATTGAGTTAAGAATAAAATAGAAAAGTCGTTGCATTCAATGAAAGTTTTGTCTATTACTGTATTTTACAAAACTCTAGAGTCTATAAATGCATAAAATCCGAAGTCTATTAATAATACTACTCGTATGACCATGAGTGGATGTTTTTAAACATATTACTTTGTTTTTAATACACAATTAACAAATAATTAAGTTGTATCAAGGGGGTCTTCCCAGATAGCACCGTACATTCAAAGGACGTCAGGTTCGTGTCCAGTTTAAAAACATATTAAATGTTTTTAAACATTTTACATATAGTTTATATCTACCAGATAACCGATTTGTCAAATTATTAAGCATCATATCCGAATACACAATTAACAAATAATTTCTTCAATGCTTCCTCAATGCTTATTTCCATAACGTATCACCAATTTATTAAAATTCCATCGAATAGCCTTTTCATCGAGTCGCTCCTCAATGATTCAATCGAATCGATTACATTTTAAAGAGTACGCGTGTGCTCTGCTTCGAGTGCTGTGTGACAAGTGGTAAAATACATGGCAAACACATTCTGCGGGTAACTGCACCGCGCGAAATAGTTTCGCCGTCGTCTGATTGATTTTCTGTATTCACGATAGGGGCTGACGCGTGTATTCGTGTTGCTATGAATACGTGTTCCTCTAAATTCTAAACGATGTGTTATTTGCTTTCGGAAAAATAATACGTGTGCTATTTCCCTCTCTCCCGTCCCATTATATGCTCCCTTTTGTTTCCGAATTATACCTACACGGACCTCTGTGTAATAAACGACAAATATCTATGCACGTGACCGATTCACGCTTATTCATCCAGTGTTCGTAAATTTGGAAAGGTGATTTCCTGCCTCCATTCACCCGACGAACGACAATACCTTGTTTTACAATCACGCGAGCGAGGCGCAACACCGAATGACGTATGTGTCACTCGTTCGTTTCCTTCTACGAAAAGTTCACCGCTGCGTTTCACTTTGTGTTTCCTAGACACAGTAGTATAACGTGACCTTAATAAGTAAAACTCGTAACTCCATTTAACGGAACTTTACAGGCGAGCAATAAAACAGTTTAGAATTAATTGGACTTATCAAATTACAGAAAATAAGGGTTAAACTTTACTTTACCGGACAAAAAATTATTGATTTCTTTTTATATCTTCTGGTAGTATTCGACGAGGGGAATCTAAAAAGGCAAGTTTTAAGTTTAGGAATCCACCGATTCAAAAGTTATGCGTATGTAAAAACAAGTATTTTTAACGTACTTTACAAGGTTAGATTAACGCCATATTGGTTTCAATCTAAAATTCGTCCAAGGTGTCACTGCTTGTAAGGAGATGCACGTGGGTTATCAAAAAAATTACTCAGAATCAGTATTTTGCTTTGAATAAATGTTTTTTTCTCGTAAACAGGCTATAACCAACTCAGAATCAGTATTTCGCTTTGAATAAGTGATTCTTTTTTGCAAGCATATTTGAATTATCCCGCCAAAATGGCCGCCATCACATACATTTCCTTGCAAGCAGTGACACCACTGGTTGGACGAATTTCGATAGAAACCAATATGGCGTTAAACTATAGCCTGTAAAGCACGCTAAAATTATTTGGTTTTACATACGTATAACTTTTGAACCGGTGGATTCCTAAACTTAAAACTTGCATTTTTAGATTCCACTCGTTGAATACAACCAGAAGATAAAAAAAGGTCAATAAGTTTTGGTCCGGTGAAGTAAAGTTCAGCCAAAATAAGTACAGTGGGTAAAGAAAGGATTCACACAGCCTTTAAAACAGAACAACTCTGTCAAAATTGGACCAAGTGGCTTGAGCTTTTTTATGAAGTTTGAAGGATTAGTTTACGAAATAATGTGTCGAACAAATTTTGAAGTTGCAATTGGTTGTAATCGCGAAGAAAATAGTAAAGGTCGCTTTTTACAACGCTTTTTCTATCTGAGACTGTAATAAAAATTTAAGAAATACTTTTCGAAGATTTATGTTAGTTATATGCATGCTGCAACTTTTATTGATGTATAAATTTTTAGATCTTACAATAATTCCAGGTCGACAGTCGTGAAAAATTTTTACCATTTTTAACCGTTTGTATCTCGTAGCAACACTAACCGATTTCGATGAAATTTTCAGCATGTATATAACTAACATGAATCTAAAAAATGTATTTTTTAAAGTTTCATTACAGTCTCAGGCAAGAAAGTTGCAAAAAGCGACCTTTATTATTTTCTTTGCAATTTTTTCAAAATTTGAAAAAAGTTGCTCTGTTTTAAAGGGTGTGCATACTTACTTTTTACCCACCGTATATATCGGCCTGATAATTTTAAAATAACGATTCAATGGGCTGGGCGTCGAAGGGTTAAAATTACATATTCAGATCGACGTAAATCGTGTTAAGGTCGAACGATCGAAAAGTATCGAATCACTAGTACGTCATTCTGTAATTATCAATCCCAAGAAAAATTTCCTGCACAACATAATTAATTATCCAAGAATATTTTTTATTCACTGATCGGATACAATGAACGGGACACTTCGAAGAATAATTCGTGGCTCGTATGAAAAATGAATTTTGACGCGCAAAACTGAACCTCTAGCCGTCACCTAGTGACCCTACCGTGCCTACTGGAGCCAGGTACTGCTTATAGATTGCCTGCCGTACCCGGGCCGCAGTTGCTATAGTTCGAAGACGGTTTTCCACCTGTGTGCCACCTTTCGTCGGCCTGCGGGAGCCACCAAGGGGGCTGTATCAACGGAGTCGATCACGGTTAGCCACACGGCCAAGTGCTCCTGATCCACTTTCGATAGTGTCGCAAAGAAAAAATAACGAAAGAAAACAAAAATGGGAACACTGTCGTCCTCGAGGATCCCGAAGAACACTCGAGAACGATCCCACTCGGGTGTCGGTTGATAGGCCAGTCGGTTCCTATATCGAAGAGTCATCGAGAGTGAAGGAAACGAACAGGAAGACGTTCGAGGACGCGCGGAAAGAAAACGGGGATCTACAGAAGGGATGTCTGAATGGGTAGTGTCTGCTCCTGTCGAGGTCGTGATAGCCAGGTCAACGCTGGCTCGATCCTCGATCGTGTGATCAGTCAGGCGAGCGACGAGGATCAATGCCTGCTCTACCGATTGGCCAATTACAAGAAGGGCGGCGAATTGATAGAGTCGTACAATCATGGCGGCCAGCTGGAGGTCGAGAAGCTGATCAGAGAACAATTTGGGATCTTGATGTACGGGGATGGTAAGGGCCAGGTGATCAACCGTGCTGAATACCTGCGCTGGAAATTCCGGGATCTTGAGCAGGTTGTGCTCCCGATAGAGGCATCCCTGTCAAGGTTCGATCCTTTGGCCCAATGGAACGATCACGAGGCGTGCTGGGAGATGCAGTATAGGGGCTCCCTAGGCGAGACCCTCCTCCATGTTCTGATTATATGCGACACAAGGATGCACACAAGGATTGCGCGTATTCTCCTCAAGTGCTTTCCACGATTGGCGATCGACGTTGTCGAGGGCGAGGAATACCTTGGCGCCAGTGCTCTTCATCTAGCGATCGCGTACAACAATAACGAGCTGGTGCAAGATCTCGTCGAGGCCGGGGCGATAATCTCGCAGCGAGCGATCGGTAGCTTTTTCCTTCCCAGGGATCAACAGAGAATGAATCCGTCGAGGAACACGGATTACGAGGGATTAGCGTACTTGGGGGAGTATCCTCTAGCGTGGGCGGCTTGTTGCGCGAACGAAAGTGTTTACAATTTATTGCTCGACTCAGGCGCGAATCCGGACGAGCAGGATACTTTTGGGAACATGATACTTCACATGGTGGTGGTTTGCGATAAATTGGTAAGTATTGCCTGATGCTGTTACCTTAAAATGTGGACATGTAACTTTATTCGATACGGTTTTCGTGAATTATATTTGCATTTTGTCGTAAGCTTAGTAGGGTACGTACAGTGAGAGTCAAAACTAAGTATACACTAGGTTGGATCTTATTTCAATTTCTGAGTTTTGTTCGCGACACCCCGCAGAATAGTTTCAATTAATCAGAAAATAATCGATGCAATATTTCAGCTCGATAGGGTAACGGGAAAACGTACCCCCAGGCTCTTAAATATTAAAATAATTAATTAAATACTCATAAAATCGGTTTTTTTTTAAGTATCTTCAGTATCTTCGAAACGGTTGAGTATTTCAGAAAACGTACGAGACGAAACTTGTAGATTTAGATAGGACGCATCTTTTATATTGTAATCCTTTTTTCCTGCGACGAACGGTTTTCGAAAAAGAATGGAAAAAGCCTGATGTAAGCAATAAATTTTTTCTCAATGTTGGAAGTTGTAGTGTGTTTGAATTATTCTTTATCAATGAAGACTAAAAAAATGTGTATTACTTATTTTCGACCCTAAAGGACTATTCTAAGAAAGTTAAAAAACTTTTTTAAACATTTCGGTAAATTTCTGAAAATTGTATTGATAATGTTTTGTATAATATAGTAACACGGAATAAGGTTAAATCGACAACAAATTGTTCATAACATTTTTTATTTTAATTTCAGTTTATTTAAAAACGTTTTTTTTCCGGCTTTTTCCATTTTTTTTTGAAAACCGTTCGTCGTAGGAAAAAAGGATTAGAACATGAAGTATGTGTCTTATTTAGATCTACAAGTTGTGTTCTATACGTTTTCTGATATAATCAATAGTTTAGAAAATAATCAAAAGAAACCAATTTTATGAGTATTTGATTAATTATTTTAATGTTTAAGAACCTGGGGGCATGTTTTCCCGTTACCCTATCGAGCTCAAATATTGCACAGGTTATGTTTTTATTAATTGGAAGTATTCTTCAGGATGCCACGAGAAAAATTTTGAAAAAAACTTGTATCAAGAATCAATAAGAGCCACCCTAGTATACACATTACAGAGGCGAGGGTCGAGTAATGCTTCTGTAGAGTTTCATGAAGATATTTTACGTGATAATACAGAGTAAAATTCGTCAGTAACTATTGAAAAGGTGACGTAGAAGTTAAAAATATAACAATCATTAATTATTGACGAAAAGTTGTTTATTTCTCATTAACATACATAGGTACTGATGGAACCGCATTACTTATGGAATTACCTGATAGATCGATGTCTGTTAGATGTCTGGTACTGATAAAAAATGAGTCCATGAAATAAGTTTGTTTTTAAGTATACCTATGAATCATTTTAAAATGGACTTCAGTGTCACTGTAGTTGAAAAAATAAACTGACTCAAGATACTGTTATTGTAAAATATGTGTACTGAAAATTGAGTATCTACTTTGAAAATTTATAATATCGATCTGCATTTATTATAACTTGATTGTGTCTTTCTTATAAGTTTTCTTAACTGGATTAGTTTGTACCGATAATTCAGAAACTTTAATTTAATTAAAAAATGACAGTTTGACAGAAAGATTATTTCTTATAAAGAATAATTATGGTAGATACATATGATACAATTCAATCAAATAATTGAAATCTAATGTTTACACTAATGGATTAAACGCATTACACGAGATAAGCTTTGAGAAATCTGACGAATTATTAATTCACTAAATGAAAGCCTATCTTAGGTAAAAAAAATTTATAACGAATGTAACAAAGAAACAATGCAGAAATTGATTGGAATGCACCGAAAAGGTGTTACTGTACCTTCGTTAACAAAGCCATTAATTTAATACAACTTCCGATCTATTAATATTAAAGTGTTCAACTTTCACGTTTTCCATTTTACTTTAACTAGAACCAGCAAAAAAGTATGTTCGTTCCAGTTTCGTGGACCACCATGCATAAAATACAATACATAGGTACACTACCGGCCAAAAGTTTGGAATCACTACGTGAATTAAAAGAAACTGTATCATTTTCAGAAAACATGAACGTCTTTAAAATAACTGAGGAGGTTTCATTTGTCAAAAAACTAACGAATGACATATTTTATATTTTAGACCATTTTTTGCAGAGAAATAAATATTTTTTTTTTTAATTGCCCCTCCGTCGAACAAACCGTCCTCAGTTTAAATGACGGCCTGATATACTCTGAGCATCAGGATGAAGGTGTAGTATTGCAAAGAAAAAAAAACTAAGAGTACTTTGGATATAACGAAATTCTAAAATTTCTTGAAATAAAATATATTTTTGTTAACATCTGGTGTATTAAGGATAGGTCAGTACGAAATTTATCGGAACATTCGATTTTGGTAGAAATCAGCAAACTTTTTCAAACTTTTGGCCGGCAGTGTACATCTGAACGTCACAAGCATAATGTTTCGTACAAATTAATTAATCAACCAACCTTTATTCTTCTATGTGTTATGGTCAACTATTTTCTAACTAGAATCCCTGGCCATTTAATTGGGACCAATGACAATTTTCAGCATCTAACATATTTTTAGTACAATTGAATTGTCTGAACGTAACGTAATAAGACATTTTATTAACAACTAAAGTGGACACGTACCGTTTCATTTTTTTTTGTTATACACATATATAGGAAAAGAAAGTTTTCCCAGCGGGTGATTGGAAATGGTTTTCGGTTATAGTTTGAAGGGCTGGACATTTGGAGTGCAACAGATGATAAAGATTGCCTTAATAATACAGAAAATACAATAATACAAAATAGAAAATAAACATGGTTAAATAACACTTGTTATTGACACTCTAGCATAAACATTCACTCGGTCCTTAACTAACTTAATAAATACTCAACATGAGACACAATAATAACTTACTCCTCCCCTCTACCAAAGGGAAAAAAGTGACCTTTGCTATTATAAGGGGGAAAAAATTGGACCCCCCTCCCCGACTGATAACCTAGAGGGGGGTACCCCCCCTCCCCTACCCATCGAGATAACGTTGTTACTCATGTCACATTCATCGAGGAATCACGGTACCCAAATAGCAGATGACGCCAATTGACGCCTTGAATACGGCTTAAAGACGCCTTAAAGACGCCTTAGGCCTAAAACAGCCGTAAAATGGACGTCTTCAAGGCGTCATGTGCTATCTGGGCTGGGTAGTAATATATAAATTATTAATATCTTGACAGCCACAGTGTATTAAGTCACACTTTTCAAACTTTAGAGAAGAGAAAATCAAAATTGTAAAAACCTTGTAACTTTGGAATTGTTTGGTAAGAATTTAACGAGAAAGAATCGCTATCTTTGAACCGTTGAACGGACTTAAGACAAATCTCGATATGTACAAATGGTGAACATTGCATTAAGTCCCATATCTGATGGACTGTACACTATGGGGCCCGGAACAAGATATAGACTTAATATCATTTTCACACTATGATACTAAAAACTAAACGACTTGGAACGAAATAATTTTTACCATCGAGATGAGTGAAAAATTTTGTACGAGGAACATGCAAAATGTCATTTTTTTAAAAAAAAAAAAGGGGACTTAATACACTCTGTCCCTGGGGTCCAGATATGTATGTGTAATATTTTAATACAATTGGTAATTAAATTCTGTTCAAGCCTTTGAATTTTACTGAAAACACACGAATTATGTTAAAAATTCTGAGTGACCCTGATCCAATTGCCAGGGGCTGTTTTTCCTAAATTTTCCTTAAACATTTATCAAACGGAAGCCTTGTATCCCAGGCAAAAGTCCTTTTCTTTTTTGAGATTTCTACTAAATAGAGTACAAAACCACGGCTGTACCAACGTAGGACATGTTCGGGTACGCTCTTCGTCATCCGAAGCTTCCTGCTCGCAACGGGATCGCGAACGCCGCGGGACTGACCCCATTGACGCTCGCTTGCCAGCTGGGTCGTGCCGAGGTCTTTCGGGAGATGCTGGAGCTGTCTGCACGAGAATTCTGGCGCTACAGTAATATCACCTGCTCGGCGTACCCCCTCAATGCACTCGACACGCTGTTACCCGACGGCAGAACAAGTACGTCGTAATGCTAATCGAATTACACGGTTTCGAGAATCGTCGTCCCTGGGGGTTGGTTCGTCGTTCAGGAGCACGCTGAAGTGGCCCCACTCACTTTGTGACGTGGCTTCGTATGATTGTCAGGACTGAAGGCCGAATCGTCCATAAGTAGCTGCGAAGTGGCCCCCTGCTATACCTGAAACGATCGTTTGCATTTTTTTTTTCTATCCAGATCGATATTTCTTGACTTATATTTTTTACTTCGTCCTACCGACGATACTATCCGTACTGGTACGGTCACGTGGCTCATCTGTTATTTTTTCTACTAAAGTACCCCACCATTGAATTATGACCGACCAGAAAATTTTAGAGAATTTTCTTTTTCCCCTAAATAGAACAAATTTAATTTGATTTCTTGTACATTTTTATAATATATACGTATTCGTACATTGTTGCTAGAAAAGAAACAAAATACTAAATTTCAGTATTTAGTGCTTTCTCATTTTGCCTGTATTACGGCTTCTATTCTATTAGGAATGTTTTGAACACATTTTTTAATCATTTCTTTCAGTCCATCATTATTTTTCCACACTTCTTCGATATTTTTCTTTAATTGAGCAATTGTAGTATTTTTCCGACTGTACACCTTTGATTTTATGTAAGACCAACAGTTCTTTTAAACCTTTTTATAATTGCCACTTTTTATGAATACCTGGAAATTGGGATTTACCAATTTATGAGTTAGGAGTGCAGGTAATACTCAACAGATGCATATTTAAGTCTTTTCCCAAAAAAAGACAAAGATGTCGCCTGGTGCTCATTAAATTACAAAAATTCTTAGGAAATGCAATGGGTCATAATTCGATGGAGGGGTACTGTATTACAGTAATGGATAAAAAACGTCACCAGTTTACGATACGTTTTCCTTTTATTATTTTTTAACGTCTATTTACAACTTTGGTGTCTGTGTTTAATATGTATTCTGATAGGTAATTAAAAGCTGTATAAAACCCCACATATTAAAGTTTCAATATTAATATTCTTAAAATATCTAGAGGCTCTATTAAGGAAACCCAAAATTTTGAACGCAATGCTAATTATATTGATGATATGTCTAGTAAAGGAGAGGTTTAACGACGATGTAACGCCAAGGTCACGAATATCACCCAGATAGCACACGACGCCCAATGACGTCTTAGAAGTAAAATGGACGTCTTCGAGGCGTCATGTGCTATCTGGGCATTAATAGTAGATAAAAAATAGGTATTGGGAGTGTAATTAAACAGTGTATTGTGTATTCTATGTGAGAAAAGAATAGTAGAGCATTTAGATAAATTGAGAGATAACTTATTTCGCACGCACCAGAATTCTAGGTTAGGAAGGTCCGATTGTATAAGTAGGGTACTATCAGGATTATCAATGGCATGAAATAGTTTCATGTCGTCAGCAAACAACAAGAAGTGACAGTATAGAGAGCAATCAGATATGTCAATTAATGAATGAAATAAAAAGTAAAGGTCCAAGGGGAGATATTCAACTGTGCTAGTCTTCGTAAAATACACGTTACATTTCGTCACAGTGGTGAACTGTGAAATGTATTTGTGATCGTGGTGAACGTCAAACATGCTAAGTAGTTATCGGTGAAAACGATGAAACGTGCTTCTTTTCGAGCTAAATTGATATGTGCTAGGCTTCATAAGACAAATGAAACGTACTACCAGGGCCGTTCCTGGGTTGTTGGCCGCCCTGGTGCAAAAACAATATGGCCGCCCTTATTATTTTAATATTAGTTAATTATTGCTGAGTTTACTTTTATATCTATATAAACGTATGTTTAATTAGTTTTTATCTAAGCATCATATGGTACAAAAGTATGTTTAAGTACTTTTAATCTATATACATAGTTTTTTAACAGTTATCATGTAAAAGAAGTATTTTCTAAATTCTATTTTCATAAAATGAAACAAAAATCCTTAAAGAAGAAATGGTTCTATTTAAGATGAATATTTTATTCTAAATATAACTACAAAACTGACGTACAGTGTTTGTAATGATGTATAGTTGATAATATCGACTATTAATAACCTACACGAAGTTAATCCAATAATATTCTTGTATACGAATAGTGTTCCAAAGATTACATATAAAATTAATTTTATTGAATTCTGTTTGTTTAAAATTTTAAGAATCATCAAAAAAGTTTTGACTGTTATTCTTATTAGTCAAAATTTACATAAAACATATGGTTTGTGGCCGCCCAGGTGCGGGGCCACCTTTTGCACCCCCGCCAGGAACGGCCCTGTATGCTACTATCCGTAACGCATGTCATAATATTCGAGCGAATTATAGCGTAACGCACGAAAAAAGAAAACAGTATCCAACGTTTCTACAATTTACCTTCCGTTGGTCGTGCAAACGTACAGACACAATTCGCCCGTTATTGGACGAGATACTTAATATACCGTTGCTTAATTTCCATGAAATTCGTCTTCGGTGAAGACTCACCGCGACGGCGGCAGCCAAGCTTGCCTACCCGCGATCTGCATTTAAAGAGCGTGGCAATCGGACTTCTGCCAAATTGTATCGAAGTTTCCCAGCCGCCGCCCGTACCTCCAATCGGTTGTAAAGTGGATGGCATGTATAGCACTATCAACGAGTTTTCTAGACGTTCGGGTGATTCATAGAACGTTGGATGCCTGGAAGATTGTGCAGGGGAGGAACCGTACTGGATGGGTTGGTGGTTGGGAGGGGGTAAGAAGGAAGACAAGGGAAAGCGGGTCGCTGCAGGATGCAATTACGGCCATTTAACGAAGTTTCGAGATTAGCCGCTGACGCGGAGTTGGGTGCTCGCGTTTCATTTAGTTTCGGAATCCATTATCCCTTCGCCCGTCCCCTCTTCGCCATATCCTCGCCCCTACCTTCGTTCTCCCTTAACCCCCACCCAACGCTGCTATGGGCGTCTTTGCCGCCCTGCGTGAATGTCATCCGATGGGTTCAGACGACCGGCTGAGACGAGACGCGACGAACTGACTGGTATGGGGTTGTAGAGTTGAGGGCAACCCGTGGCGGCTGCTGGTATACAGGGTGTCCAACCTAACTCTGCTACCCTTAATTATTCTCTTATTTTCCATGGTACCAGAAAATGGTTCGGTAGAAAGTTAGTGTATTTTATGGAGGAAATTAGTCTGACATTGAAGGTCATCGCAAGGTCATATCTTCTGAGATTTATGTAATGGTAACTTTTTTTAAATGGAATGCCCTATTTTTATGTTTGCCATTAGAAAGAGGAGATGAAAACGTATCCAACAATGCATCACACTATGACCTTGAAATGACCTTGGCCTGAAAATTTCGCACGTAACTGGCTGAGGTGGAAGTTCACAGAAAATGAATTGCAGAAACAAAACAAACGCCATAATCGCATTATTCATTATTTTAGTGTATGTTCAAAGTGTTGTCACCCCATAGTGTGATAGATTGTTGGATACGTTTTGATCTCCTCTTTGTAATGGCATGCAAAAAAATATGGCATTCCATTTAAAAAAACGTTACCATTAGAGAAATCTCAGAAGATATGACCTTTAGATGACCTTCAAACTCATAGCCTAATTTCCCCTCTACAATACACTAACTTTTTCCCGAACCATTTTTTTGTACTGTGACAAATAAGAGAATAATCAACCCTCAAGTACACTGGCCAAATCTGGCCTACACAACTACACCCGCGTTTGTACTCCGCCAGTGTAGTTAACGGTTAACGGTGGCAAAGTTAGGTGGGACACCCTGTATATCAGAAGGGGGGTGAACTTTCGGCTTACTCCTTCTTACGGGGTACGCTTAATTACTCTAAGCCAAGGCCAGCCACCCAGGGTCCGTCAGTTAGTTAGCCAACCAGTTCGCCATGGAGTAAACCAGTCAGCCGTTCAACTCGAGACCTCGATTTTCTTCCACTTGTTTCTCATTTCTTCCCTTCTATACCTTCTATTTCCTTATCCACTAGAAACCTGGGGAAATAGTAGCGGCCGAGAAAAGCGAACGGAGAGAAATCGGTAGCTTCTTTCTGAAACATCTTTTGATATAGAAAAAAAAATAATAAACACATTTGAATTTTCAAACTTGCTTTTTTTATTTTAAATACGAAATTGCAGATTACGTATCTTAGATTCGCACGAAAATTATAACGTTCGTACGCGTTCGTCTCAATGGCAACATCTGCCAGCAGTAAACAAGTACGTAAAACAGTTGAAGGGTTATCGGATTCGGTGCGGGGGACAAGGATGACGCAATATGAACAATCGAAATGTTAGTTTTCATGAAAATATAAAAAATATGGACTGAATTCTTCTTTTGATCAGATTCGCCCTGTGATCTGATTAGCCTCGGTCTACCCTGTCTGGGGTGGCGGGAAACGAGATTTCTGAAAGAATCCGGAGAAACAACGATAGAAAAAGGACGAAAGTCAGCCGGGGAAAGTTAATATTTTACGGTTTAGTTATTGTTGGTTATAAAAGGGGTGAAAAATGAAATGGAGGCTCACCTTCGCGACAGAATTGGTCAATAAAATCTCTGACGCGTCCATCCCTTTTGTATCGGGATCGAATGAAGCTCCATCGACAGTGCGCGTTTACGAGGACAGAGGTTCCTGATATAATCTGCCGCTCTATTACGTCACTGTCGATCGACTTTTGATATTCCCTGATGGAATTAAGCCCGGAAAGATAGCTTAAATCGATTACGAGAATATGGCTGGCAACAGCCCTCGACTAAAACGTTAATAATTATCTGAGCACAGCACTTAGGGTTGATTATTCGCGATAAACGGGCGGCCGGGGGGAGGCATGGACAAAGGAAAATCGTTGTTCCAACTTCGATTCAACGTCCGTTTTTGCGGACTGGCCTGGTTGCTTCGATTCCAGTGATTGCCGTCGGGAAGAGCACAGAATCGTCAGGGAAAACTTTTCGACGGTCTGCTACGGAGTTAGATATAATTACGAGTTGCGGTAACGACTATGTACTGGTAAGTTCGTCGTGTATATACTCCTGCTGACCGGTCTGGAAGTATATCAGGTGAAGTTAGAGATCAGATGATTGAACGTACCGTGTTGCTAGTATTCATCGAAAGAGCGTCTATACAAGATGTCAATGATAGGGGACGGTTGCTGAATTTAGACCACTAAAATATCTTTTATTCTAGCCTCGATCGATGGTTCTTGAAATGGTGAGATATATTTTTGACTTCATAGTGTAGTATGGTATAGATATGGTACACTACCATGTACAAAAAGTTTCACGAATTTTTCATTTAAATGTCTCGCGTATATGATATTGTAAAACTTTTCTTTCTTTTTTATTGGCACAACTGTTGTTTGCATTCCCTCCAATATTCAGCTTGACGGATTATCATTTTTCATTATTACAGCGTTCTGTTTACATCAAATTTTTGTGGCTGGGCGATTTTTCATATGGGCCTGAAACGCGTTGCTGCAAGATTGGTGCCAAAAGCATTGAATTTCTTGCAAAAATGGAATCGTGTTGAAATCTCAAAGGACATTCTTTTCTACGTGCTACTTTTTCTTGTTCCATCGACTCAAAAGACCATTTCGGGGAACGCGTTTTGAGAGCATTGAATCCATAAGACAAAAATCACAGGCTGAGCTGATGTCAATACCAAAAATCGAATTGCTTTTTACCAGAAGTGCTTTGAAAGCTGGATCAAACGCTGGCGTAGGTGCATTGCGGCCAATGGGGACTCTTTTGAAGGCGACAATGAGATTTATGATGAACAACATTGTATTTTTGATTTTATAAATAAATTCCTGAAACTTTTTGAACATGGTAGTATTATGACTTTCGAATGACAGTGCAACTTCCGTTTTTACCATTTTCTTCTGTCTTTAATCCTGACGGAGATATTTAGGTGTCTTGGTTCTAGCAAATCACCCGGTATACTGACAATTCGAAACAAATGTCAGACCGCAGAGATGCACGCGAATCAATCTGATCGCCTTTCGTAAAGCACTCGAGCTCGTGGAGAGCCTCAAAGTAACTATCAAATTAATATACAGGGTGTAACAAAAATATTGGTGGACACTTAATTGGGAGACTCGTGAGGTGATTTGAAACAAGTTTTTCCTTAGCAAAAATGTTATCCGAGGCTTTATTAACTAGATATTAACGAAAAACCCCGACCAATTAGAGCGCAAGTCTGCCGGCCGAGTTCCCTGTGCGCTGCGATTGGTAGCCAATGTTACCGCGGGAACTCGGCCGGCATACTCGTGCTCTAATTGGTCGGTGTTTTTCGTTAGTATCTCGTTAACAAAGCCTCGGATAACATTTTTGCTAAGAAAAAACTTGTTTCAAATCACCTCACGAGTCTCCCATTTCCGGGTCCTCCAACATTTCTGTTACACCTTGTATACCGTCGCTGCTTGCAGCGGCGCATTAAATATCCTATTCATTAACCATAATAATTGCCACTCGACGTCCGACTAAAACCGTCAAGGCAAATTCGGCGGTTTCGAGGGCCACCGAGTAGAGAGCCCAGGCTTCCGATTCGATCGTAACAGAGAAGACAGAATTGAATGGAAGTTTGGACAACGGTTCGATGAGAACGGGGATATTCGTTGCAATTTTGCTTGCACATCTGAAATTCAATTTCCCAGCCAAAAGCTGTCGGGGAAGTTCCCATCAATGCCGACGCGAACTGGGGTAAGAGAGAGGGAGAGAAGAATAGAAATTGACAACAGACGCACGGAGCGTTAAAACGGTCCCTTGCAAAATATCCAATGGAACTGAAAACTTTCCGTGACGCTTTAAGCTCCCCATGAAAGCAGCTTTACTTGGATCGACGGAGTGATTAAAGAGTCTGAGAACATGATCGACCTATCCTTGTAGATTTTGGAGTCGCGGCTGGCGCACAACTTCCTGGGCTCGTCTGTGACCGTAGAAAGGAATCGATCTGGTAGCATGCAGCGAATTTACGAAACTCCGAAACGAATCCTTAATATTTCACGGGGAATTCGGTCGTACAAACTTCGATAATCAATACGGATGACACGGTTAAAAGTTCAGTGGCCGTCGTACAATATTTGTCAACCTTCCAATTTTCGAAGGTTCACCATCCTCTATTCAACTGCTGCTGCTTCGATTCGTCTCGGAAGAAATTCAGTGTATGCGAATGTAACTTTACGATAGTATTATTGTTACCAGCTCTGAGTAATTTTCGACTTGAATCTCGAATAATTTTCCGGGCACAGCGATAATAAAAACGGATAATTTTTAGAATATTATAGAGTTATTCCACGCGGAATCGGACACTTTTTGGAGTAACATTTCGGATTTTTATGACACTTGGATATGTTGTAGTCTTTAGTGATATAAGTGTGTCCCACCCTAACTCTTCCACCCTTAATTATTCCCTTATGTGTCACGGTACAAAAAAATGGTTCCGGAGAAAGTTAGTGCGTTTTAGGAGGGAAATTAGGCTGAGATTGAAGGTCACTTCAAGGTCATATTTTCTAAGATTTCTCTAATAGTAACGTTTTTTTAAAATGGAATACCCTATTTTTTTGTTTACCGTTACAAAGAGGTGATTAAAACATATGCAACAATGTATCACACTAGGGGGTGACAACACTTTAAACATACACTAAAATAATAAATAATGCAATTATGGCGTTTACTTTGTTTCTGCAATTCATTTTCTGTGAGCTTCCACCTCAGCCAATCACGTGCGAAATTTTCAGCCCAAGATCATTTCAAGGTCATAGTGTGATGCATTGTTGGATACGTTTAGATCTCCTCTTTGTAATGGCAAACAAAAAAATAGGGCATTCCAATTAACAGAACGTTACCATTATAGAAATCTCAGTAGATATGACCTTGAGATGACCTTCAATCTTATAACTTAATTTCTATCCTAAAATACACTAACTTTCTCCGCAACCATTTGTTTGTACCGTAACAAAAAAGAGAATAATTAAGGGTGACAGAATTAGATATAACACCGTGTATAAAATTCTAAATTTTTTGTTTAAATTCCAAAAAAGCAAGGAATTTTTGCAAATCTAGGGATGAACTTACTTAAACATTTGTTTTCAATATTAATATTTGTCAATAATACTGATCCTTACGTAAATATAAATTTAAAGACTTGCACATATTAATCAAATTTCTCCATCAATTTATACGCAATAGAAATATTTCTAAATATTAAGTTTTATGAATCTGTTCCAACATAGGGCATGTTCCAGTTTAGGTACCTTTACCGTACTCACAAGCGGCACTGTTACGCATACGATTTTCATCCCTTTAACTCGCGTAAACTGTGCTCCCATCGTGGCTCCGAGCGCAACCACCCGAAGTTCATCCCCGTTTTACATTAGTCATACTTTCTAAAAGCCTTTAGTACTCGCATTTATGGGTCCAGCGAAATTCAAACACTGCATCGAACTAACATTAGCCGCGTTCACGATGCTCCCGCGGCAAGTTCGGCGACGAGATTAACGATTCCGTGGAATTCTTCGAGCGCTGGGGGGAAGTAGCATAAACTTTTATCTTCACATGCAAGAAAGTTTAGCATCGCACGTGGCGCGGTTACAGAAAAAGCCCGAACCACACCCCCCATCTTTAGGGGCGGGAGGGGGAGGGGTGGTGGTGGACTGGAACCTGGTGCATTTAATAGATATACCGGCGCTAATGCAAAACCCATAATTATCGCGGCGGGCAGAACCCTAAAGTGATGTTCCATTAACCGCAAATGGTCCTCCTCCGAATTTCTATTTCAGACTGGAACTCCGCGCTATTTATCATTCTCAACGGTACGAAGGAGGAGCACTTGGACATGCTGGACGGTGGTATTATTCAGCGATTACTTGAGGAAAAATGGAAGACCTTCGCGCGGGTAAGTGCGTCCACGTGACAATATTCTCGCTCGTTTCTTCCGGGGCATTTTTCACGGCTTTAACCAGAACGCGCTACTTTTCTACACTTTGAAAATTTGAAATGGAGCCTGTTCCATTAAAAAAAATTTCGCTTGAAATCACACACGCGGATAATGCGTAATGCTTCGCTCATATAGGGTGTAACAAAAATGTTGGAGGACCCAGAAATGGGAGACTCGTGAAGTGATTTGAATCAAGTTTTTCCTTAGCAAAAATGTTCTCCGAGGCTTTGTTAAGGAGATATTAACGAAAAACCCCGACCAATCAGAGCTCGGCTGCAGGTTGAGTATGCTGGTCCACGGTAATGGCAGACGGTTGTGGGGACAGGGCCGTTCTTAGGTTGTTGGTCGCACGGGTGCAAAAATACTTTTTAAACATTCATCATGCAAAAGGGATATCTTGAAATTTTTAGTTTCACGAAATGAAGCAAAGATGCTTAAAAAATAAATGGTTGAATTTAAAATGAATATTTTATTCCACATATAAGTACAAAACTAACGTCTAATGTTTTCAATAATGATGTTATGATTCATAAATAGCGACCATTAATTACCCACACGAATTTAATCCAAAAATATGGCTAAATCTCGTATGCTAGTTTGGGCTGTCCAAGATAGTTTATTCTTGTATGCGAGTAGTGTTACAAATATTATATATAAAATTAATTCGATTGGATTCTGTTTCTCTAAAATTTGTACGATTATCAGAAAAGTTTCGATTATTATTCTTACTAGCCAAAATTTTGCATAAACGTGATAAACAATCTGCGGCCGCCCCTGGTTTGGCTGCTCAGGTGCGGAGGCACCTTTTGCACCCTCGCTAAAAACGGCCCTGGTGGGGAATGGTTGTTGGCTCCAAACAGCTAAGTTGGATAACATTGTACTAAAATTAGTAACATGAATGTTTTTAACAAAAGCTCTGTTGTTATTAATAATTCATAAATACATGGAAGATAATGAACCTCAACAATTTTTCGATGCCATATAAACCTGACGAGCACTGTAAGTAACAAGAGGACAACGATCAAATGTCAAGTGCGCGTCACGGCATTCGTATGCTTTCATTGATTTTTTTTATTGGGACACGGAACGCTAAATCGGAATGTACCACGTGCAATATTAATTGGCAGATGTCAGCTGTCCTCGCTCGAGTGTACTGCGATCCATGAATAAGGTGCAGACGAAAAATAATCTCGTAGTGGGTGTTCATCAATGTGCGTGCATTTCAGATGATTCCGTTGATTATTGAGTGACGTCGAGTAGACATGGAGTGACTACCGAACCATTGTCATCTCGCACCGCACTCGAACGATCGAATGGCGGTGTCAGTGATTCCCACTGACGTCGAATAAACGCGCGATTTATTTCGATTTCGATCTAGTTCGGCGTGAACGACAGCAGGCAGAGCCGTTCCTGGGTTGTTGGCCGACCGGATGCAAAAACAATATGGCCGCCCTTATTAATTTAATAGTATTTAATTACTACTGTGTTTACTTTCCCTAGTAGCAATTACTGTTGGCATTTTGATGGGCCTTAGATGCACTATTGGTTGGATAACAGTTACAATTGTTACCCTTTTTTGCAACTGCCAATTGCTTAGTGTCTATAATAAACCAACAATAGGAAGACAGTTGGCTATACTACACTTCCATAAAATAATTTACAAATATTTGAAGGAGTATAACACTGGAAATAATATTTATAATAATTACTTGTTATAATAATTATATACATGTATAAATTGTATATGTATATTAAACAGGTAAGCAAGTGTTTTACCAGCAAAGTTATCTTTACAATTTATTATGTACAATTTATACATGTAGCTAATTCTTACAAATAATTATTATAAGTTATTTCCAATCTTCTGTCCCCTGACTCTATTCTCACAAAATGTCAAATGTCGAAGTGTTGCGTGACAATAACAAATCGTGAGTATATTCATAACCAAGAAACCAAAAAAATTAATTTGAAATATAAAAAGAAGTTTTTTGGTTGTTGCAACGTTCCTGGCGTGTTTAAAACGATATTTAAATATTGGCAAACTTTGAGTAGGCCAATGTTGTATTATCATTGTACATTTCTTGTTAATTAACCAACTATAATAATTGTAGGCCCAACATTGGATATTCGTTAGCAAATTGTCATAACTTTGTCGTCGTAGGCCCTATTTTGGGAATTTGTAAGCAAAAACACGAACTATATCCCAACTAACTCCCAACTGCTGGATACCATTGGCCAACCATAAGTGCTACTAGGGTTTATATCTATATAAAAGTATGTTTAATTAGTTTTTATCTAAGCCCAGATAGCACATGGCGCCTTGAAGACGGCTTAAAGACGCCTTAGACCTAATGGCTCATGTGCTATCTCGGCAGTATATGGTACAAAAGTATGTTTAAGTAGTTTTAATTTAGATACATAGTTTTTTCACAGTTATGAAAAAGGAATATTTTTTAAATTCTGTTTTCATAAAATGGAACAAAAATCCTTAAAAAGAATGGTTATATTTTTGAGATAAATATTTGATTCTATATAACTAGAAAACTAACGTAGTGTTTGTAATAATGATGTTATAGTTAATAATATCAACTATTAGTAAACTACACGAATTTAATCCAATAATTATGTATAATATTGAAGAAAAATATAAAATATTGAAGAATATTCTTAATTTGTATGAGTTTCGCTATCGCAGAGAAACAATAAATAATTTATCTTAAACAATAACACAATGGCGCGGGTCCAATAAAAAAATTAAGGACGAGTACTTTTTTTTGATGAATTCGTTATGTAAGAAGTATGATAGATTAACGATATAAACATAACTGTGTTTCGTGTGATATTGGCACTATTACACTAATTAAGTATCTTCTAGAATTCTTTGTTTCGAACGAGTCTTAGCTGACAAATCACCTGCATCATGCAGATACCTTTCGTCTGCTATGTCACTTTCGTGCTAAGAAAAAACTTAAAACAAAATATAATAAAATTATTTTTGCAATTTGTCATGTTATTTGTAAGTAGTTCCACAAATACTAGCAAGATGCATTTGAATACGTGTTACATTTACCGAGGAAAAAAATCCTTAAAAATAGCTTAATTATTGGTTCGGCCGTCAAAGTATTGTAGTTTGACTCCTTAATTGGGAACAGTGGAACACATCCTAAGGGATTCAAAGTATAAAAAAAAATGTTCATACAAAAGTTATTTGGTATTGAGAAGGGCACTCTGTCGTATAAACAATTTTTTTGCAAGTAAAGTATTGGGGGAGATTGTCCGATGAAATTAATCTTTTTAAACGGAATAAGTAAAGTTAATAATTGATTTTTTTAAACGGAATAAGTAAAGTTAATAATTGATTTTTTTAAACGGAATAAGTAAAAAAACGGAATAGCAAGTGTAGACTGTTGCCTGATGATCCGGCTGCATTTGATATTTCTGATGAATATATGAGATCTCATTTGACTGTCGAAGTGAACTCGTTCGTAGTTGTGCACAGACTAACTTTTAGTTGATACTTGTGCCGGAATATTTGAGATCTCACTTGACTGACGAAGTGGACTACTTCGTTGTTACGTGTAGACTAACATGTTGAGGTGTATGAGTTCGCGTATGATTGGTGTTTGTATAGGTGTGGCAAATTTGTTGGTAATTGAAGAAGCGATGCTATCGAGTTCCTCTTCCCGATGTAAACCTGGAATAAATATTCTACAAATATATCTATTAAATATAAATATTCTTTCTATAGGAATCACGTTCTATAGGAATCACGTTGATCGTATAAGTGCAAGTTTCAACAAAGATTGCAATATTGTCCGTTAAATGTTACTTCTTTCTATTCTTCCCTTTCTTTTAGTTAAATGTTAGTGGTTTCAACGGCAAGATAAAATTGAATAATATTCAGTTATAGGTCTTCCATGTTTAAAGTTTCATTTTAGTCTAAATAACATTAAGTGGACACTCATGCATTTTTCCCTGTACATCTTTACTCACTAAAGTCAGAAACATTACATTTACAGGCGGGATCGACTTATCCCATTTGTAATATTTTATCCGGTTTGATCTGTATCATAACACAACGATGGAAAATTATTGTGTACATATGCTCAAGTGGACTGGAACATTATAACAGTGCGGTATTCGTGACATATTCCACTTATAATACTAATCACAACCACGTTTAAACCGCATACAAGCGTCAAATGACCTATTACGGTGTGATATTGTATACAGAGATTAGCCGAGCTTTTGCATAATTAATTACGATGCGCATTTGATGGTACCTCATCAGTAGAACAATTCTGCATATAATTCAATGCAGGAAACAACGCAGGTTATCATTTTTTATAAATCATTTAATAACTGTAGAAAAATTTCCTACGTTTCTTCGTAGACTAGCAATAGCAACCTTTTCGCAATGTTTATTCGTATTGTGTTGTCTATATTGTTTTATTCACAAAGTAATAAATGAAATGGTTTCCTATATCTACCTGATATTTACATTTTGTTTATTTTGTGAACTAAACTATTATCTAACGTTTGTTTAGTAAAATTTTCATTTCGTTTTAGATGGTTGATATAAATTTTTGTTCTGCTTTAATTTGAAAATCAAAACTATGGGAATATATTGGTAACCATGTGTAAGATCTTTTGTTTGAAAAAATATGATTCAACGGGCAATAAGGATTTCTGTAGAACTTGATAAAATTAAATAAAAAATACGTACACTGTGTTGCGGAGAACAGTAATTATGCATTGTGGAAAAATACATTCGATATGGGTGATTCAAATTTCCACGTTAAAGGTTACTTTTTCATCTGTACTTGTCATACTTGCAAATAAATTGGTGCTTGGAATTTAAATCAATATTGAATATGATGTAATGCCAATTAAAAAATCACAGTGACTTCTGTATAGCCTTAATGACTTTGGGTAAAAGAATCTAAGGTTTGTAAAAAGAAATAACAGTGAACGATATTTTCGTAGCTAATGTAATTTTAGAAATATTCAATCCTAATACATTTAATTGTATACTTATTGACACAGCCTAACATTATTTTTTTATTCACAACATATAGTGCTTCAAATAATGTTCAGTAGTTAATAATTGATTTATTCAACGTTGTAAAACAATATTTAAGGGTATATTAACATATAAAGGGAGTGACAAGTATCTGTAAAAATTAACTTTACTCAAAGGAAGTGAAATCTTTGGTTCCCCTAATGTAATTAAATTACTTTCCTGTGTTCGTCGTATGACGAGCAAGAAAGGTTCGCCTTATAGACTTTTTCCTGCCAGGTTATTGAAAAAACCTAATGCATTCGTGATGATTTAGCAGACTCACAACAGCATGTAGAAAATATACGTAGATCAATATGAACTAAGAAGCATATTAAAGAATACGAAACTCATTAATACTCACATGTACAGAAATACACGATTTTTCCCCAAAAATTTAAAATAAGTAATAAAAGCAATTTTTTGTAACATGTTGTTTTTTACCATTAATTATTTAAAATAGCTTCTTTTTAAAAATATATGATGTTTACAATAATTACATAGCTAATACGTAGGCGTACTAGATTTTGAGTCCATTGAGGAATACAAAGTTGATCTTTACATGTCCTCTACGTCTAGATCTACAGCAATCTGATATGTTTTCTGATATAATCAATAACTTAGAGGATAATCGAGTAAAATCGGCTTTGTGCCCGTTTAAGCAATTATTTAAATGTTTAAGGGCCCAAGGTTTCACTGTTTCATTAATTGCTACTTAATTAAAAGTAAGAGCCACCCTACACCTAGATAGCACATGACGCCTTGAAGACGTCTATTTTACGGCTATTTTACGTCTAAGGCGCCTTTAAGCCGTCGTTAAGGCGTCATTAGGCGTTATGCTTTGCTATACCAACAACCCTCACTTACTATACTAACGACATCAATATAATCGGTTCATAAATTCTAATTGTTTGTTTACGAAAGTTGCAGTTTTTAAAACGATTGATCATCTTGGTATTTCACCTGACATCATTATCGCTAGCGGTGTACCTGAGGCCCTCCGATATGGCCACTATAGTCCTAAAGTGGCCGGAAGAAATAACGGAAGCTGCTCGTACGATATCGGAGTGTGTCACCATCATAGGCGTTTTGGGCTACATTCTGGTACAACTTGGCGGCGAAATCATCAACATCGGTCTGCTGTCGTTCCTGAAACAGTTGGTAAGGTCAATGTCCCCATATCTAATCACCTTCCGGTTTATGCTCAGTACGTACCCTAGTAGCACTTATGGTTGCCCAACGGTATTCAACCGTTGGGAGTTACTTAGGATATAGTTAGTGTTTTTGCATACAAATTCCCAAAATAGGGCCTACGACAAAAAAGTTATGACAATTTGCCAACGAATATCCAATGTTGGGCTTACAATTATTATAGTTGGTTAATTAACAAGAAATTTACAATGATAATGCAACATTGGCCCACTCAAAGTGTGCCAACATTTAAATATAGTCTTGAAGACGCCAGAAATGTTGCTACAACCAAAAATTTGTCATTATATTTCAAATTAATTTTTTTGTTCTTTTCTATTTATGACTTCACTCGCAATTAGTTACTGTCGCGCAACACATTTGACATTTGAAATTTTGTGAAAATAGAGTCGGGGGACAGATGATTGGAAATAACTTATAATAATTATTTGTAATAATTAGCTATATGTATAAATTGTACATAATCAATTGTAATGGCAACTTTCCTGGTAAAACCCTTATTTACCTGTTTTATACATGTATATGATTATTATAACAAGGAATTATTAGAAATATTATTTCTAGTGTTATACTCCTTCAAATATTTGTAAAGGATTTTATAGAAGTGTAGTATAGCCAACTGTCTTCCAATTGTTGGTTTATTGTAGATACTCAACAATTGGACCTACAGAATAGAAACCTCCAATTGGCCCTTCGTAGTATAGTGACGTGGGCCCTACGTTGGATATGATTGTTGGCCCAGTTGCAAAAAAGGGTGACAATTCTAACTGTTGGCCAACCAATAGTGCATCAAAGGCCCATCAAAGTGCCAACAGTAATTGCTACCAGGGTATATTTTGTATTTAATATAAAAAGTTAAACAATAAATTAGTTATACAAAAAATTATTTAAATTGGTTTAGAATTTCTGTACAAAGTGCTACAGCCCGCTGTATAATAGATGGCAGCATTTTAATTGAAATAAATTAAATAAGTGTGTCCGTCGTCAAAAATTTGAGCGGTTCCGTTGCGATCGTGAGTTACAGCTAGACGCCGCGTATTTACTAAGAAAAATATACGGATTCTTTAATATTGTTCGCCAAAATTTAGTTTTAGCACTTTCATTTTCGCTGAGCAGAAATAGGCACATTGTATACTTCATATTAAATTAACTATTAAGTTAAAATGTTTTTAAAAACACTTTTATTTCTATTTAATTATAAAGAGTAAAATAAATAATAAATATCAATTTCTGCGATGACAGAACTCTTACATGATTAGAAATAGGAACATTGACCTTATGCTCCATGGCGCTTCTATTCTGTCGACCTATCCGTGAAAGTTGCGATCGCGGAACGCCCCCTTCGTTGTTTCGTGGCTCACGACGGACCCTCGATATCTTGCCACGCCGGGAGTTTCGAATCTTTCGTACCGCGGGCAAAGAGGTTGAGCAATCTCTGTCTGCCACCTAGTGAACTGTAACGAAGGATCACGAGCAGTAACGAGGAAATCAACTCTCTCTTTCTATCCCCGCATGAAAATAGTATCTTTCTGAACGAGGGGCGATCCTCTTTTTCTTATATTCTGCACGAAACTTCGATAAATGTTCAATATTATACAATGTGAATCATACAGGGTGTCCAGAAAGGTTGCGACCAAACTTATACCACGTGTTAATGCGGTCGAGTAGGGAAAAAATAGTTCGTGTAAACTTATGCCCGAAAGTGCTTTATTGAAAAGTTATAACCGTTCATAGATTTTTATCAATTGTTATGGCAGTTGTATAAAATGTTCGAAATTTACTTCCCTCTGCGAGAATGCAGGCATTCCATGCGTCGAACTGTTTCGAGTATTCCTACTGTATTAGAAATACAGTGATTCCTCGATAAACGCGACACGAGCAAGGGCGTTATTCCCACCATTGGAATCAATCGAAACAGAGTAAATAGACGCCAAGCAGTGACTCTAAGCATGGGAAAATGGCCACAGCACCAATTTTAGTATTTATGTTTATCAAATAATGCTCTTTGCCTAAAAAACAACTGTGAGTAATTTCAAATCCCTATACCCTCTCGTAAGGGTGATATGGGGATAACAACCCTAAACTTTACCATTTTTCTTCTCAACAACCAGTCAAGATATTTCAATGCTTCAAACTGCAGATAGTAGGTAATTTTTAGCTCTGAAACATATGTTTTTTTCGAAATTGTAAATCAATTATTAAGGGTAGAAATAAAAGAATTAATTTTTTGAGGATGGTTTTTGCAAATATCCCTTCGAGTGACACCTACGAAAAAAATCATAAGTAACGCGTCACTATTTAATTTATTATCAGTTGCAGGAGGGTCGAATTGGTCGAATATATTTAAAAAAAAGTAAAACCAATATAATATCTCTCGCAGACTAATCTAAAGGGCCCGCATGATTAATAGGAAGGCTAAAAAAAACATGCATGTTTGGGAATTTTTGTTAGGCAAACCTAGAAAACTGTATTTTTTATCCAACAATACATAGAATTCACGAAGCGCTTTGCAATGACTGCCGCTACTTGAAATTGATACATTTTTAGTAAACTAATGTTCCTAGCTTCAGAAAAGAATTCAAGTCACTTGGCCCAACTTAAAAAAATTGTTCTGTTTTAAAGGGTGTGCCAATACTTTTGTTACCCACTGTATGGCATTTGTTAAAGTTTCGATGTATTCTTTAGAAATTTCGCAACACAACAAGATTTAAGTTGAATCTAAATAAGAATCATAAAAATTTTGCAAATAGTCAATGAACCAAAATTTTTATATTTGATACTGTAAGTACACGAACTCGTCGAAGGAATTGCAATGTTCTGAGAAATAATTTCCAAGGTGTTACAACCAAAAAAATCTACTGAAACGACTATTTCAGGTGGAATTTCCTATATGTTTCAATTAGACTACACTGCGATAGTTCATCATCAGTAAAGTAACATAAGCCGAGAACCAACCGAATCATCGAACCGTGCCGTTACCGGAGAATAACAATCCATTATTAACAATTCGACGAAAATGAATTTTCATAGACAGTAATTTCATCCGATTTCGGTTAAACACAAGAATCGAGACCCGCGCAACGTTCACCGTCAACAGTTTTATTGTTCGCGAATTAATAAGCCGTTGACGGTGGAATTACGCGAGAAATCATAGTGCACGTTTGAACATGCTCGTAAGAGGGAGAACACATAATTCGTCGTTACCCTACGGTTCGGTCGATAATGCAGACAACGGTATATACGATATAATTAGGACAACGCAATTTACGTATACCGTGCGTTATTAAGCGGGATTGCGTACAGCGGTGTAACCGTGACGAGAAGCCACAAGCAACGTGTGGAGGGCACAATTAAAAACTACGTCACGCGAAGGATTGCGGTTTCCCAATTGAATTAGTCGTTTTGTCCAGCGGAAGGAGGGGGGCGCTGCAACGCCACGTTCGCCGTGTGCCGAAATTCTATAGTGTATCGATTCCATTGCGACTGGCCCGTAAACCCTGGCTAAAAATACATACAGGCATACCATTGACGTTTTACATGCGCACGTTTACTTTACAGAGTCACGAACCCGCCAAGCTCATATTTGTGATCAGTAACCTGCTCATACTCTCGTGCATTCCGTGCCGTCTTGCTGGTAACAGAGACGCGGAGGATGCGATTCTGGTGGTGGCTGTCCCCGGCTCGTGGTTCCTACTTATGTTCTTCGCTGGGTAAGAGATATTAATAGAGAATTTACAACCACGTATTTAGACTGCCGATTTATGCATTTATCAAATGTACCATTGTCAGACATTCAGTATTGGGGAAGTCGGTTGTGGCGTGGGTTAGATTTTGGCCCTCTAGTGGTAAGATGGAAAACTACTGACAGTTGGTGCTTCAAGTTTGTAAAGAGTTTTCCAATAAGAATGGTATGATTTTGAGATGAAATGGCAAGCATGTTTAAAATGTTATAACTGTCACAAGTTGTCATTTGTGGTTAGTATGCTCTGACAATTTACCATGGCTAAATACACAATTCAAGAACGTTTATTTATGCAGTTGGCCTTATTAAGAGGCAGTATAAGCTTGGCCCTAATCTTTTTGGACACTCTTGTATAAGTTTGTTTGGTCACACTGGCCGTTTTGGCCCTCTGGTGGTAAGATGGATAACTACTGACAGTAGGTCCTTCAAAGTATGTAAACGGTTTTCCAATAAGAATGATATGATTTTGAAATGTGGCAACCATGTTTAAAATGTTATAACTGTCACTAGTTGTCTTTTGTGGTTAGTATACTCTGACAATTTATCGTGGCTAAATACAGGCTTCAAGAACGTTTGGTTATTATCAAAACATTTTATGACAATAGACGTTCTTTTGTGAATTCAACAAAAATTTGGAAGGGATTTTCTCTTAACGATGCGGAAACACCATCAAGACGTCGAAATGCAAGAAATGTGAAGAACATTGCTGCTGTAAGAGATAGTGTTGCCGAGGTCCCAAATTTGTCGATTCCTCGTCGTGCTAAAAAATTAAGGCTTAGAAACACCTTAGATAACTTAGCATATTATGCGAAAAGACTTGGGTTTACACTCGTATAAGATTGTGTTGAATATTTTAATAAAATTGTAATAAACTGTACTTCAAAATAATATAAAAAATTTGGTTGTATCTATAATATTTTTTATTTTATTTCATTGTAAAATCATATCGTTCTTATTGGAAAACCCTTTAGATAGGTAGTTGTTTGTATACAGTTGAAATACCGCAAAGACACAGTAGCTTCTAACGGCTTTAAAAATGAATCAGAAACCTGTGACTTTAATTGAAAGAACAATGCGAGTTTCGATCAACGAAATTTGTTAGTTCGCGTGTGCAACACCCCAAAGGAAAAACTTTATTGACGGTGAAAATATAATCAATTGTGATCACCCGTTAAATTGGGGAAGACGAAATGAAGATGACAATAATGATGTTATTAAAATCATTGCGTTTTGTCTTCAGACATCAAATATGAAAGTTGGTCCATGTAAAATTAGTTGTGAACTATTTTTAATAAACCATTTAAAGATATCTTAAAAGCTGGACGAATTATTGGTATGACTTATAACTTAGGCAAATTTGCGATTCGATTTCCTAAAAATCATCAATTTTATGTCCAACTTCCAGATAGCACATGACGCCTTAAAGACGTCTATTTTACGGCTATTTTAGATAAAGGCGTCTTTAAGCCGTCTTCAAGGCGTCATCTGCTATCTGGGGTAGGAATGATCAAATTCTAAAAAGAATTTTTATATGGTTTATTATATTATTTTTGCTAATTTTTTACGTCTGTAACCAATCTTATATTCTTAACTTATCGTATATTTTTCTACACTAAGTTTTTTTACACGCATTCTTCTGGAATGTATCTGTTGTGTGAAAGCAGAATTGGGTGTATCGTGAAAAAGTTTCAGAAAGTTTACTCAGGTCTCCTTTTTACTTCGTACCTATTAGAACCATTCCTAAGAGGGTAAGTAAATTTTTGTTTGCTTCCAGTTTCGAAAGATTAATCAATATACAGGGTGACCCATCTAATGTGAGCACCTTTGATGTCTCACTTGTTTCTGAAGATAAACAAAAGTGTGAAAGGAAAATATTCGGTTCAAAGGCGCAAATGCTATGTCCAGCAAAAGATTTATCTCAAGGTGATAGATACTTTTCGAAATTTCATGTCATCGATGTTTTTTTTTTAAAATAAGGCTGCATATTTTTACCATCACGGCGTAGTAGTTGACATTACACGTTAGTCGTGATAAAAGCCAATGCAAGAAATTTTGGTTTGAGCCTTATATTCTGTTTTTTTAATATTATTATTATTAAAACAAAAGATAAAGAGTTTATTTCTACCTTTAAGCAATCTAAAGTTTTTAACTACTAGCGTAGTAATTGTAAATGTTTAACTTGACGTGAGAACTTTAAATGTTTCGTTAAACAGATCGACATTTATTTGTCCGAATGTTCCATGAAATTCCGTTATAAAGAAAAAGCTTAATCAGTGAAATGATTCCATTAGTAAAGAAACGTTTTTAATAACGCAAATTAACGTGTCGTACCTTTATACAGACATTCATTAATAGAATATGAATTATCGTTTACATCAAATTTCGCTAATATGTGTTATAGGGGTTAACGACGGAGTTGAATGGGAGCTTTGTAGTTAAAATTCTGTCTCTGGCTTGTAAACTTACGGCAGAAATATTCATGAAGAATGATAAAACAATGCTTGATAAGTGTTATGCCCCTTGGTCATGCAACATCGGTTACACTTTATTATTCAAAGCGGTTGTGACAATATTTTACTTTTTCGATAATACATACTTGAGGGGTTCCAATTATCTCTGAAATTTTACTTCCTTATTAATCAGTTTTAACGGCAGTGAACTAAACGTGACACAATTGTTAATGAGACAAATTATTTGAAGAAATCAAATTTTCCGTGATAACGAATACATGCATAGCATACTCGTTATTATTAACAAGTAATTTATTAGCAAATTTCAAACGAAATGTAAATGAAATAAAAGTAATAAAACAGCGTTACATTTGAAAATATGTAACGCATTAATGTACATTTTTATAAAATTAATGTAAAACTAGTAAAAATATCAAACTCAACGATTCCATAAATTTAATTATTAAAGACACAATTAATTTAGAATAGCTTGTAGCGTATGTGAGAACAAAAATTTTTAATTTGCGTTGTGAAGAATGTAAGTACATGAATAATTAAAAATGTTGTTAGTATTACAGCTTTCATTAATCTGAACGTAATACTACCCCTAAAAGGAAGTGTTTTGTGAAACGGGTTAACATAATCTGAAGCAGGAATTATTAGTATACAATTTAAAAAAATAAAATCTTGATGTTCGTAGTATATTAAAGGAATAGACCACAGCACGCATTAACGGAATGATAAATAATCTTTTTTCTTCACTAAAACTTGGATAAAATAATGTTCGTCTACTGTGGAAATTATAAATTTTTTGATACGTACTATGATAAAGTATTAAAATATTTTTAAATTATTGAACAAAAGGAATCATAATAGAAATTCTTAGAAACTCACTCAAAGTATCTTGTGATGTATAAGGTATTTAGTTCCATGTGAACATTTTATTTAAATGCAGATAATATTTTCATTCTTGTTACTTCATTACTAGTGAAAACATTTTTTACATCTAATAAGCGATTTATTTTTACTATACACGTTTAGTTTGGTCGATCACATATTTATTGTCAACGATAACAAAATTAATAAGGCATTTATCGAAAGTAACAGAGAACTGAAAGTCTTCTGCAATATTTCAGTTGTCACTTTTGGTAATTGATTTATTGCTGAAAAACTGTTTTAAGTGTATTCCTTGCCGTAAGTATTACATTACTAGTTTCTTGATGATTCAATCTTTTAAAGTACTTCCAAACGAAAACGATTTTGCAGTTTCTTGAAAATACAATATTCGATTCATTTGAGGCGCTTTCTTCACTTTCATGTATTTGTACATCTTATTTTCGCTTCTTTAATCCAAGATTTTCTGAGCTATGTTTCTCTACAAATTGTTTATAACATGTATAAAAATAAAATGTAACTTGTTAATATGCACTTACCATTTTCTTTTGCTTTTGTATTCAGAAATTTATCCATTGTAAACGAAGAAAATATAATAAAAGAAAATATTTAACAAAGGTAATAAATTAGAGAAAAAATATTCAACATACAAACAACAAATCACTCAACTAATTAACAATGCGTAAAATTCAGGTGCAGGCAAAGACGGTTATAAAATATTTCCGCAAGACTAAGAATAGTATGAAATAAATTAAATTCATTGCTCGTAATAATTGAAATTATAAAATTCGCAGTACAGACTCCTCCCGATTAACGTCTGACTCGTCCTACACGATTATTGTCCAGGCGTTATCCCCACCACTTGGGGGGGGGGGGCGTAGATCCTTTGAAGCGTATAATTTGTTGCCCCTCTGTTTTTGTTGAAAACGAATTTACGAAGGTCTGATACATTTCTCCTTATAAGATTATTGTCTCGACGCAGACCTGAGTCCAGGACAATAATCGAGAGTAGTCTGTAGTAGGTATTACATACTTCCACTATGGATAGGAAAACTAAACTATTGATATTTTCGATAATGAGGACCATCGATAACTATCGATAGTACCATCGGTAGTTCTCCACCACTATTAATGTCTTATATCTGCAAGACACTGAATAGCAGTAACAAGAATCTTATTATTATTTTACACAAATTTATATGTTGTCAATCGGTTGTCATTAATTGTTAGTTTTACATCCTGTAAATGGAAATATTACCGAACTACTAGATCAGACCTACCAGATTAGAGCTACTTTCCAAAGTTGTCGCGTGTATCGAAGAGCTTTCGGTCATATAGCTTATCCACGCCGGGTGATCTACCGTTGTGTATGTTAATGAAAGCCAAGATAGAAAATTTCGTATACCATAATTCTCACGGAACAGCCGAAACCGCGATGGTGGACGGAAGCAACAAGACGAAGAAAGACATTTATAATCGGACCAGAAGATAGTGCCTCCAGATTTCGAACCTCTTTTTACGTGATTTACGCCGAGATAATGCCGGCTATTTCGCATTACCATATACGCCTCTCTTGGCAATCGTTTTTCTCCGCGCCCAGGCGTCCCTTTCGCGGCCACTTTTC